ACTAAAAGTTACAGTGGTGATATAACGAGCGAATGATGCTAAAGTCCAAGCTAAGACTCTTTTATAGGTAGACAAATGTCCGGGTTTAGACCAATATAAAATCGTGTACCATGAAAAGAACAGAGCCCACGCGGCCTTGAGCGAAACAAGAATAGGGCAATTTAAAAGACTAGCTGTATAAAACGCATGATATACTGTAGTTAAACCAGACATTGTTCCGACATGCAAGTGTGAAAGGCTATTGTGAATATTGTTTAAACTAGACAAGAAAGACTTCTATAACGCGTAACAGTTCTAATGCGTTACGTTTAACAATAGTAAAGTGGTGACTGTACGAAAATAGTGTCACGTTCCATTAACTGCACTTTAACGATTGACTTTAAAGCTTTACTATATTAATTTTCCATTATTTTCTACATTGCACTTTGTGATAAATAAACTTTATGGAGGTGCAGTATGATGTTTTTAAAAGATGACAAAAAATGGTACATGTATATTTGCTACCTTCTTGTGTTCATTGCGGCCACTGATGTCCACTGCGCTGTCAGAGGGTCAAACCTCTCCACACTGTTGAGGCACGAGGCTCCATCATAACCGCCAATGGCATAGATCAACCCATTCAAGACAGCCACCCCCAAGCAGCTTCGACGAGTTCCCATAGATGGTACTGACAGCCACTGGTTGCTCTGTGGACAGTAAGCTTCAACTGTTGCCAGGTCACTGCTTCCATCATAACCACCTACAGCATAAATCTTTCCACTGACTGTCCCGACACCCACCCGGGCACGCTTGGTAGACATGGGAGTGACCATGCACCATCTGTCAATCCTAGCATCATAACACTCACACTCACTGTGAATAGCAAACAGACTGCCACCACCAATGGCAAACAAGATTGGAACCTGCCCAGCAGGCTTGCGGCAGACAGTCCTGGGGCTTTGAAGTACCGAGCGCTGTTCAGGAAGCAAGTGGTATTTCATTGCTTCAATGAGCAAGTCCTTGCAGTCTGGGGTATTTCGGATGAGATCTTCAGTTTCAACACGGGTCATTAAGCATTCCCTTGTCAAAAGCGGCAATCTTACAAAGGGTAACAGATCCCTTACAAATTCCCGTCTGTTGTCCACGTCAAACTTAACCCAATTTATAACCGCGTTATACACTTGTTCTTCGCTTTCTACATTAACGTCACTATTAGAGATGAGCTCCAACACTTGCTCAACCGAAAGAAGCATAAACTCTTCCGTCTGTGAGACCTCTAAGAAGTGCTGAAGAGCAAAGCGATGGGAGGATTCCAGTAAGTCTGTGCAAGTGTGGGTATCAGCGAAAGCTCGAATACCGAGACAGTTCGAAGGATGAAGCTGATTTTTTAGAAATTCACAGCAAGCGTCTTTCACACTTGTTAACTGTAGTAAACTCGAGGCGGGGAGCAAAGCCTGTACGTTATCCTCACTGACTTGAATGCGAGCGGTATAAGCGAAGTCTACAAGAAGTTCAATTGCGTCAGCGTCAACATCTTGAAGGGTTATGTCTCGTTGTCTGCTCTC